GCTGTAATTTACTGCTCTTGTGCCCCCCTCAAAATCCCTTCATTGGTGATAAATCCCATGAACAGAATCCTGAGCGAGGTATCAGTGTGCCCCAGCGATTATTTTCTTACACCACAGGCCACAATGATTAATATGTTCTGCAGAGAGTGTTCCAGAAGAGACACTCCTGAAAGATTTAACGCATTGTTTGTTCTCTTAGCACATTTGATTCTTACTGGCTACTTCTGTGTATCTTCTTAAAATCGCAAACTATGCAAAGGTCAGAAGATTTATGTTTTTAATACATTCATGTTTTCAATACATTAGTAGAGAGATGCACATTTTATCAGTACCATATGTGTTATTTAATGGGTATTGGTTATTCTTATAATAATAACCTACTGATTAAACAACACAAACAATAAAAAAATCTTACCAACCTTGTATCTTAAATCTTATCATTTATAGGATATTTTGGGGTTGGTAAGATTTTTTATTGGTTTTGAAAGAAGTCTCTTATGCTCATCAAGGTTACATTTATTTGATCAAAAATACAGTAAAAACTCTAGTATAAAATATAAAATAATTGTTTCCAATTTTAATGTATTTTAAATAGTGCTGTCAAACAATGAATCGCATTCAAAATAAAAGTTTTTCTTTACATAATATGTGTGTGTACTGTGTCTATGTGTCTATGTATTATGTATATATAAATACACACAAATATATTTGATATATAAACAACATATTTCTTATGCATGTGTGTGTGTGTTTATATACACATAATAAATATACACAGTACACAGTTATGTAAAGAAAAACTTTTATTTTGGATGCGATTAAACGCTTTTAATAGTTTGACAGCACTAATTTCAAAATGCAATTTATTCTTATTTTATCTGTTAACATGGTATATTTAATTATGCATGTACACATTTCCCATATTTTTACATTTAGATTACCTTTGTACTCATCTTATGCATCTTATAAAGTTAATCTTTAAGAATACTTATAAGTTAATAACACTGTAAATTGTAATCCTTTTCAAATTTCAAAATGAATATCCATTTTCATATTTACTATACATTATAATGTTATGACACCTAAATTCACTTGAAGCATTTACTTTTTTTTTTTTTTGATTTTGATCCAGTAACATGTCCTACTTCTCTAAATCACATTGTGTTTGTGCTTGAATAAGCTCTACATAGAGATTGAGAGGGCAAGTAGCAGTGGAGAATGTTCTTATTGGCAAAGACTCATGGGAAACCTGCAGCTCACCTTCCTAAATGACAAATCAATAACTCTTGTCTGCCTCAGAGTCTCATGTGTCTTTTATCTGAGCTGGAGTTTAGATGGGTGAAGGCTCAATTTATTATTTAAAGGCTCCATATATGATGTACTGTACCGCTAACAAGCAGTTGAGCTCTGCCCAGGTGAGTCACAATGTATATGTGTACTTGTTTAGGGATTGCTTTTAGAGGCATTTACCAGTGTGCCTTGACAGATGTCACTGTAATGCCCTATAGGGGGCATTAAGGGGTCTCGATTGTGTTTGCTTTAAATAGAACCTTCGGAGAATCACCTGGAGTTCTGGGAATTCAGGCTTTATCATACAGGTACAGAGCAGCAGATTGGAGGCCAGCTTTTGCCCAGTCAACATATCACTTCACCTGGGTTGATTGTAAAATCCATAGATGAGGCATAGCTGAAAAACTGATTGACCAGTAGGAATGTAGACTCATTAGGCTAATGGTTTCATAGGCTGACTTAACATATTCATAGTGCTGTGCATGCCGTCAACACACGCAAAAATCATTGAAGGTTTCGGTGGAATGTCAGTGTTTGTATTTAGACAAGTGATATTTTAGGAGAAAGGAAATACATTTAGCAAGCATTTATATAACTGAGTAAAAGTAGATCGTTGGCCTGGTGGTTAGCGCACATGCTAAAAATACAATGAGCTGTAGTTCAGTATCCCTTTCCCCCGTCATTATCTGTTCTTTCTCTATACCAGGGGTTTAAAAAACTACTTTTTATTGTCACGTGATCCTTCAGAAATTATTCTAATATACTGATTTAAAACAATGAAATAAAACATGTTTTTATTATTATCAATGTTAAAAACTGTGATACATTATTTCTCAGGATTCTTTTTATAACTGTCGATTTTGATCAATTTAATGCATCTTTGCTAAATAAATTTATTAATATGTATTTCTTAAATAAAATTCCTGCATGCTGCATGAAAAAAGCAAGTTGTTTTCTATATTAAATTAACTTTTATATTGTCATTAAACTAAATCCAAAACAAATCATTAAAATATTATTATTATTAAATGCTTAATTTCTGTTTAAAAGCATATTCATGCAAAAAAAAATTGTATAGTGCTTTTCACAAGAAGTATTGTTTCAAAGCAGCTTTACAAAGTAAAGCAGAAAATAAGAATTATTCACAAAATAATATACAGATTTGTTTTGCTTACTGTTACTGAAATGTATTGCTACCAAGAGAGTAACAATTTGTAATCCGCCTCATGATTTCTGACCAGAAAACACCTAAGGGCCAGAAAAAATATTTAAAATATGAGTAGTAATCATTATTTTTATTTATTTATTTACTTTTGTTTTTTAGACTGACCTCTGACTTTTCTATTTTGAGGCACAGATGTTAAATGTTTCATGCTGTCTTTTATGTGTTTTTATGTGGTACAGTTTGTTCTTCCTGTGCCTTTACACAGTTTTAGCTTACAGCTCCAGCATAATGTGAGCTATTCCTTTCTCGGTAAAGCGTTTATTTAGTCACTTTTCCTGTGTGTACCTCCTGAAGGCTGTAATGAAATCTCTCATGTGGAACGGCGGAACAAGGCTCGTGGCTGTTTGTCATGGATCATTCACAGTGAGCTCACACACTCTCCGCTGTCCCTTTACTTCTGTCTTCTGCTGAGTAGCCACACCGTTTGCTTCCCTTGGCTGAACAGCCTGATGGGATTGGTAGCATCTCCTTCACAGTACACCGAATTGACTGTTGTGGTGATCCGTGCATCACTCGGATAGGTTTGACAGAACTTGTGAGCGATGGGTCTATCTTTATGATTGTGTGATTTTTTTTCCATTTTTTTATAAGCAGCATTTTTTAACCACCGCCACATTGAGACTCTACTTTCAGGTCCATATATAGACACACCACAGGTCTTTGCTGTGATCCATGACCTTAAAACCAAAGATGGAGCATGAGATAGAGAGAAAGAAAAAGGTTAAGAGGTTTGTACATGCACAGAACAGGTGGAGAATGAAAGTACAGGCCAGAGAAATAAAAGAAGATTGAGAGTGTGGGAGCGAGAGAGAGAGAGAGAGTTGGTTAAAGTGTGCAACAAAAAGCACAAAATCAGCTGAATGTAAATGTGCCAGATAAGCCCAGCAGAAGAGATATGGTGTGTGTGTGTGTGTGTGTGTGTGCGCGTGTGTGTGTGTGTGTGTGTGTATCTACGGCCAGCCCCTCTGCTGACTTTGCTCCTCTCAAAGGAAAATTTATTTGGCCGGAGAGAGAGAGGTACTTAGATGAGTGGAAAAGAAGAATGACGGCAAGCGAGAACTGCGAGAGAAATGGAGAGAGAGGAGGATGGAGAGGAAGGCTTTTCGGCACACTTATTCTTTCCCTGCAAAAAATCGGTCAACAAGGAATCACTCATATTACGATGATAATCTTGTAATAGTCACATTCTCTAGCATCACATTCATTGTGTGATGAGTGAATATCTGTATTAGAAAAAAGTTGTGTGAATATCTGTATTGAAAAAAAAAATTTTTTACCAATTAAAGGGATAGTTCCCTCTTGGATCATTTACTCACCTTCATGTTGCTCCAATTTTGTTCTGTGGAATAAAAAAAAAGATATTTTGAAGAATGTTTCTGTTGTTTTTGTCAATGGGGTCCAAAACAACATTGAACCCCACTGACTTTCATTGTATGGATGAAAGAAATCACAGGATATTTTTCACAAATATGTTCAGCAGAAGTAAGAACAGCACAGGGTGGATACATGATGAAAGAATTCTAATTTTTGGGTGAAATATACCTTTATTAAAATAATACTGATTCCTCAGGTGGCCATAAACTCTTCAGTCTGAGACGTATACAAGTGCTGGATGTTTGCTGTCGCTGGGTTTGAAAAGATCTCTCTTTTAGCTGAATTTATAAATCTAAACATTCAACCTCTGCTTGATTTATGCCTGCTCCATTAGAGGCCTTGTCCTGCCAGCACTTACCTTTAACGAATGAGAACGTGTTAGGTGAGCTTACCACTCCGTCATCCACTGTTTTAATAGAATGTCAAATCACACTTAGCCTAGCATGCAAACACACACATTACTAATTAAGGCCGCCTGGCCTGTAACAGAAAATCAATGGTGTTTTAGCTCGATCTCTCTCTCTCTCCTTCCTGTGCTGCTGAAATGGAGGTCAACCTGTCCCTCCTTTTTGTCAAAAAAGTAAAGAGGCATTTAATCATTACAAAAGGCCGATCGCACACCTATAAGAAGATATGTTTCCAGTATTGTACGGTATGTGATCTCACGATTACAGCAGCTTGATCGTCATTTCATGATCTGATTACACCGTCTGACTGTGTCCACACCAGACCGTTTGGCCACAAATGGTTTTAACACGAGCCGTTCTGATTTATTGATTCAATCTCGAGTGATTCTTTGTCTTGTTTCATTGGCTCACTGAAAGACGCAGGAACTGCTCCACTACTATTTGGCATTTGATTGAATTATTCCCTTAAGTACACTTCATCTCTCTACATCTCTTCAGTCATCTCTCCCGCTTCAACAATTGGTTTCATCTGAGCTGCAGTCTCTCTCTTTAATCTTGTCTGGCTCTATCTTGTAGTCATTTTCACCAGCAGCGTCTTTCCACATTTCAGGGGTTTCATCAAGCCTTCTGCGGTTTGCAAGCACTTGCAGGCTCCATATGTTAGCATTCTCTTTAAGTGTTGTGTTTTCTCTGTGTCTCTGCAGTGAGTAACTACAGTCATGTGCTGGAGGGCCAGTCAGACTCAGATGATGAAGATAAGCTTCACATCGTGGAGGAGGAAGGGAGTCTCCTGGACGGGGCTGACTGTGACAGTGTGGCCCCTGACGATTACCCTAACGGGACCGTCGACCATGAAGGCAGATGGGACGATGGTAAGCCCGCCCTTTTGTGGTATATCGTTATCAAGGAAGCTTTGTATATTGAGTCTCATTTCAGGTTCACCTAAGTTTCTCAGGGAGTGTTTACATAAGACACGTTCTTGCTTTCGAAAACAGCTAGATAGAAGAGAATGAAGGTGTCTCTTTATGCATGTTTTAAAAGTTAGACTATTTTTAAATTGACATGCCGTCTTAAAAATGCAAAGCTTGTGGCAGGATGCTCCAAAAACAGCTAGACATGATGCAACAGCCAAAGACCTCCGTCTGAACGTGTCACTGTGATGCTTTAAAGAGGGATGAATTCAAATATGCAACTTCTCTGTCATCACACATAACACTATTTATTTTTGAAGGAAAAAAATTAATACTTTTATTCTGCACTAGTTAAATTGATCAAAAGGCACAGTAAAGGCATTTATGATGTTACAAAAATGTCTAATTTAATAAATACTATTCTTTTGAACTTTCTGTTCATTAAGAATCTTGAAAAATGTATCACTGTTTCCACAAAAAATATCAAGCAACCATATTTAACATTGATATAAATCAAAAATGTTTTTTGAGCACCAAATCAGCATATTAGAATGATTTCTAAAGAATCATATGACACTGAAGACTAGAGGAATGACTGCTGGAAATTCAGCTTTGCCATCACAAGAATAAATGATAAAAATATTAAAACAGAAAAGAGTTAAATTGTAATAATATTTCACAATATTACTGTTTTTATTGTATTTTGATTAAATAGACGCAGAACTAATGAGCATGAGACCTCTTTTGAAACTTTTGAACAGTATTGCAAAACGAATTAAAGAAATTATATTTAAAAAATCTAAATACAATGTTCTCAAACTCGTGTAAAACCTGTACTATAAATATTAGGGAATTTCATAAGTCTAATTTATATAATAGATGTGGAAAGTCATGAATTTATAAAAAATTCATGACTTTTTTTCAATTTTTTTTTTTTTTTTCATAATTATATTTGAAAAGTTCTGACTAGTCAAACATTGGTATTCAGAAAATGCACCATTGACTTTTCAAATCGACTAGTCACTTGTTAGGTGACTAGTCAATCATCATTAACATTATAACACAGGTTTTATGTTTTTTTTTTAGAGTTACATGAAGCATAATCTCTCTAAGAAACTCTAATTGAGACAATTCAACACCATTCCTTTGCTGCCTTTCAAGCACAGGTATTTCCTTTAGAAAATGCAGACCTAGTTTTTATTGTGACGGTAAAATCTTGGCTCCATCTGGATAATAAGCCTTGATAAAGGGTAACTGGAATACAATAGAGCTCTTTTGCTTTCGACGAAAGGCATTTCTCCTGTTCCTGGGCTAATATGTATTGCCTGCAGTGTGGGGATTGTTTATGCTAGAAGAGGTAAACACAAAGTCTGTTGTGTGTGAGCTACCAGGGTGCTATTGTGCATTAAGCTTAGTGTTGCGGGACGCAGGCATGATGGCAGGTAATATACCGCCACTATAACCACAGCAACTGCTTGCACAGCAGCCCCTTGTTCAGTTTTTTCATTCGGTACATTTTCTACTCTCTCCACTCTGTATTTCAAGGTTCGCCCCCCAAATTCACGAAAGTCCTCTGTCATTTTAATTTCTGCCAGTATTCATTCATTCATTCATTCCTCTCTCCTGGCTTCTCTGTCAGTTCTCTGCAGGATGGAGCTTCAGTGAAGAAGAAAGTCATTGTTTTTGGCAGAGCTCTCCAAACATTAAACACTTCACAGAAACCCGAGTTAAGAGAGAGGCACTACACACGCACTCTCTCTTGAACGTTTCTTTTATTACCTCCATACCACCTTCATCTCTTTGTAGTCTTTCTTTGTCCGCCTGTTGCTTCTTTGTTGTAACTCTGAATGAATTGTTGTTGTGAGTCTCTTATGTTTTCCCAGAATTCTTCATTTTAACATGTTACGGCACCTGTTGCAGCACCTTTTCCTCTTCATTTCATAGCTTTTCCCTCTCCATTGCCAAAGGCTCGGTTGCAGCAAGAGGCCCAGATATACGAGCGAGGTGTGTCACACAGAGAAATTGGTCTGCTGAGATGTAATGTGCATTGTTCTCTGTTCTCAGATGTCGTGTTTTGAGTTATATACACTTCTCTGCCTAAGCTTCCCATCATTCATAGAGCTCAGGGCTGTAAAGCAGCCACTAGCCATAATGGTTCAGCGCTGTCAGTCCAACTCTCACTCTCCATTTCGGGTTACCCCACACCTTTCTTTTCTTTTCTCTTTCTTTGTATCTTGGCAGCGATCTCTGTATTAGAGTACCAGCTCACTTAGAAACCGTACAGCTTGCTCTCTGTGGTCTCTGGCTACAATTCTTGTACCTCAACCTCCACTTTTACTTTCCCTCCATCCAAGCTATTTTTCTGCACTTCGTTCTTCACTATCAGATGACTGGCCGCTCGTTCACTGTCAGCTCTCGTGATCTCTGAGATGAAAACCCTCCTCTTGCAGTCATTTATGGGGTAAATACTCCGTAAACCAATACATGATTACTGTGGTATGGATAGTGACGCTGCGTATCCAATTCGATATGTCAAGCCGCTCTGTTTCCCTGTAATTTAACCACACGTTTCTTGAACAGGCATTAGGAATCAGCCATTTACGTAATGCGGTGAGCAGAGGCACCTAGCATAATGGAAAAAGAAACATTTTTTTACTGTTAGGGAGGATTACATTCTATATTTGACTCTTAGGTTTTAAAGTGCATGAGCATATGGTGATGGAGTAATTGGTCACTGGGGAAAGTGCTGCAAGTGCCTGACTCATAATGGAAATCTCACCAGAACTTTAATCAGGAAAAGTGAAGCTGGTGGATTCTGGGAAACGTAGTGCCTGCTGATGGTCTATGCTGTGAGAGGCACACAAGAATCAGAATCATATGAATCTCACAGGTTACATTCTACCTCCACAATTTGCAGTTGGTAAGATTTATTTATTTTTTACAAAAATGTAGTAAAATCTATGGAAGCCCGTTTCCGCCACTGAAAAAAAAGAAAAAAAAAAAAGGTAATTGCGACTTTTTATCTCACAATTCTGACTTTTTTTTCACAGAATTGCGAGATATAAAGTCAGAATTCTGACTTTTTTTCTCAGAATTGCATGATATAAACTTACAATTGCGAGCTATAAAGTCAGAATTGCGAGATATAAAGTCACAATTGCGAGATAAAAACTCGCAATTCTGACTTTTTTTCTCACAATTGCGAGTTTATAAATAATGATCTTTAAAAAAGCATCATATGACCCCTTTAAAGTCCTATTTTGAGGGGGGAAGAAAGACCGATATGTACTCAGAATTGCGAATTTATATCTCACAATTCTGACTTTTTTTCTCGCAATTGCCAGTTTATATCGCGCAATTCTGAGAAAAAAAGTCAGAATTGCGAGATATAAACTCGTAATTGCAAGAAAAAAAGTCAGAATTGTGAGTTTATATCTCGCAGTTCTGACTTTATTTCTCAGAATTGCGACTTTATGTCTCGCAATTATGACTTTTTAACTCACAATTGCGAGTTTATATCACGCAATTCTGAGAAAAAAAGGCAGAATTGCACAGAATTGTGAGATAAAAAGTCGCAATTACCTCTTTTATTTTTTATTCAGTGGCGGAAACGGGCTTCCATAAAAAACAGTAATACTGTCAAATATATAATATTAATTTAAAACAATTTTCAGTTATTACTCCAGTCTACAGTGTTACTAATAGAAATCATTATATTATGCTGACTTGGGGCTCAATAAAGATTTCTTAATATCAATGTTGAAAACAGTTGTGCTGCTTAAGATTTTTGTGGCTACTGTTATAAATTTCTTTCAGGATTTTTTGGGGGAATAGAAAATTTAAAAGAATAGCATTTATTTTAAATAGAAATATTTGTGACATTATAATTGTACTTACTGTCAATACACAATAAAATTCTATATAAATACCTCATTCATTCATACTGTCATTGTAATGCATCATTGCTGAATAAAATGAAAAAAAAAAAAAAACTTACTGACACCAAACTTTTGACTATATCTGTATACATAGAGATATATGGAAACCGGTTTCCGCCACTGAATAAAAAACTTGATACAAACTCGCAATTCTGAATTTTTTTCTCAGAATTTTGAGATATAAACGTGCAATTGCAAGTTATAAAGTCAGAATTTTATAAAAAATGTATATCATGCAATTCTGAGGTAAAAGTCGGTTTATATCTCGCAAGTTTATATCTCACAATTCTGAGAAAAAAGGTCAGATTTTCGAGATGTAAACTTGCAATTGCGAGAAAAAAGGTCAGAATTGTGAGATAAAAACTCACAATTACATTTTTTATTTTTATTCAGTGGCGGAAACAGGCTTCCATAGATATATATATATATATATATATATATAACCTTTATTTAAACTTAATTATCATTACTGTAATACTAAAAATAGTCTCACATTCAACAATGACTCTACCTATTTACTTCTAATGGACATGCTAGGGTGTTTTAAAAGCAAAAATCAGTTTAGGAGTGTTGTCTTTTCAAACCAGTATCTGATACAGGCTACATTTGAAGGGTCATGTGAGCAACCTCACAGAAAAATCAGATTTGAGCAGAAAATCAGATTTGGGCCACATTCAGCCTCGGTGAGAATGCCATAGTCAACCGTAACTGTTTTGTTAGTGGTTTAATGGATAGTGGAACCACGCTTACAGTACCTCACAAGAGTTTATCTACATATGTCTTCATTTTCTCTACTTAATCATCCGAGTTAAAGTAAATCTGTGAACTGGCTGAGCTTTTAGACTCATGTGACCCAGCTCTGGCACGCTAATAGTGCGTCATTGTCAAATCAGACCAAGCCCATCACAGAACACTCATGCACTTTATCTGACCTTCACCCTTAATGTGTTTAACAAGGTCAGGATGTCATATATAATCATGTACGCGTGTTAGCTACTTCCCTGAGCTTAGACTACAACAGCATCTTATTTGTTTCTCTTCAAAGAAAATTTTAGTTTGTTGTACAATCACAAGACAATATCTGTCTTCGTCTGTCAACTTGTTTTATTGTAAGGCCTGAGGGGATATTGTTCCTCACAAGATGTCACAGGACTTTAATAATGTAGCATAATAAAGTGTTGGGCCTAGTTTGTGAACGATTCTTGGAAACGCTGTAGTGTAGATCTGAGTGTAGAGTGAGGAATGAGACACTCTTGTCCAGCCCCACTAATAACATTCATGTCTCTATCTCTGGCCCACTTATAATGTGAGATTGTCACGGCTACAGTTGTGTTGTGATGTCATGACAACAGCGTGCTGTGATGGCTGTGTAGTGCAGGGCAAAGCTTGGAGCGAGAGCTCTGGTAATCATCTGTTCCTTCACTAGCGGAACATCTCACACCCAGATTTCAACATGATTTAAACCTCTCAGGAACGTTTGGGAGGGACCTACTGAAACATGTGCCATTGAAATCACTGGAGATCATGACAGCCAGTCATTTCAACGTGTTCATGTTTTTTTCTGTCTGTAAATGGCAAGAGCGTAGTTTAAATGAATATGTACATGAATCTATAAAATTAGCATAGTCTTCTGCTACTCTTTCTTTCTTACCTGCAGTGTTATTCCGGTCAGCAAAATTACTGACAAAAACATTTGTTGACCAGGTGCTTGATTTAATCAACATATAATAATTTTATCATAATGAAAAAAAAAAACTAAAATACGATGAGACAACTATAACACTGCACGATAGTAACAATACATTAAAATGTTTTTAGATTTATTTGTATTTTGTTAATCTTAATTAACCCTAAATGTTGGATGAATGTAATAAATTAATGAAAGTTTCTGTTTATGGACATAAACGAAAGTCATGCCACTTCAAAGTAAAATGGACTAAAATAAAATAAATAAAAAATTTGAATTAATTAATGTTTATTAATAAATTAAAAATAATGAAAATAATCAAATTAGCATGTTAATTATTAATAAACAATTAATTTAATAATATATGAATGAATAATATAATGAATGAATAATAATTTGATCATAATTAAAAAAAATACAGTGAGACAACTATAACACTGCAAGATATTAACAAAACATTCAAATGTTTTTAGATGTATTTGTATTTTGATAATCTTGATTAATTGTAAAGGTTGGATGCATGTAATGAATTAAAAGTAAAGTAAAGTCATACCATTTCAATCAGAGTAAAATGGACTAAAATCAAAACCTTAATTAAATTTGTAATTAATTAATATATGTTTATTAATAAATTAAAAATAATCAAATTAACATGTTAATTATTAATAAATAATGAATTAATTAATATTAAATAATAGCTAATTACAGTAATAATAATAATGCCTATTGACAATTGAATATAAATTTTAAAGACAAAAGTGACAAAAAAATGTAAAACAAAAAAATAATAAATAATGATCATTAAAATAAATAAATATAATAACACTGATGACAGGATATGTGTCATCTTTGGACCAAGGACGTCCGTCTATACTGTGGTGAGAAAACCCTACATGTCAGACATATAAACAGTGACGGAGTGAATCAGTGTCCCTTATGGAGACATCACTGCTGACAAGGGTAGAGTGCACTACAAAAAGAGCTGCTGAGAAAGAGAGCAAGAATGAGCAAAAGAACACTGACATAAACAAAAACAAAAACACAAAAACCCTCTTCATTTTCTTTTTGTCCCTCACATATTGCAGGATCTCTTAAATTGTTCCGACACACAAATGCCCTCAGGTGTTTCTGAATGTTGTTTTGACTCGCTAGCAAATGCCATTAGTTGTAATTGCTGACATTGCGGACTCATTTTCAGCATACGCATGAGAGAGCGCATTGCTAAGGCACAGAACAGCGTGCCGCCCGAGGGCTCAGTTTCTCCCGAAGCCTTCGCATGTTCATTTGCAATCGTTAGTTGAGCCAATCTTTCGTTTGTGAGAAAAAGAGAATGAGAGTTCATTTCTCAAATTAAAGAAGCTCGTTTAATGGAGACGTTGAGCTCAGATTGTGCATTAAGCCCGAAATTGAATTAGCTGCACCAGAGTCATTTCTTTTTCATTTGCTTTTAATAGGTAAATGTGCAATCGAGGACTAATATGTGTTTTTGTGGGTGTACATACCCACGGATGTGAAGCTATGTATCTAAAGCTCATACCCACTCAAACTCCTCTGAGTATTTAGCTAATGCACTGTTTAATAGCGAGTCACCACTAAGTATTTTGGCTGTTATTTGGTCTCATCCTTCATATTTTATTGTGCATTGGGCTGTATCGTATGACTGATATTCTATCCACAGACACAGCGGTGAGCATCAGTGTAAGTGTGTGTTTGTGTGTGTTGCAGTGAAAGAGGAGTGCGTGTCGGACGAGGATGAGAGGAGTAGAGATGCTTTGGTTGAGGAGATGCTCCAGCAAGGAGACACGGCCGTCATTTTCCCGGAGGCTCCAGAAGACGAACCGCGACAGGGCACACCAGAAACCAGCGGACATGATGAAAATGGTACACACACACACACACACACACACACACGCATCACACACATTGTAAACACTTCATCGGGTAACATCACGCAAGATGAATATAAATAGTTGCTAGAATAAGTGTGAACTCTTGGATTTTTACGTACGCCAGGTGACCTGTAAATGCGAAAAAAAAACGTTTCCATTGCAGTTTTGCGATATATTCCTTTTTCGAATTGCCTAAAAACCACCTCATGCAAGTGTAAAAACTTTTTTGCGATATGTGGGAGTTTTTGCGAAATTGACATGTTTCCATTAGGCATATTTTCAATTCTCGCAATTTGAAGGGTAATGGAAATGCAGCTTCTGTTAGACCTGCAACACCTGTGCAAATCTCCCATACCTAAGCTACTTTCTCACGTCCCTGTTGCTGTGTTTGTGAGTGAGAGAACGTTTCACCTGACCGGAGAGAGAAGGTTAATAGGTTACCTGTTAACAGGTAATATGTTACCTGTGTGAGAGCTGGACAGAAACCTGTCCAGGTGTTATCTGCTCATTTTCCATTTGAAAATTAATATATTAGTATTATACAACATCGATAAGTGTTTCCTTAAAGGTGACATATCATGAAACTCTGACTTTTCCAGGTTTCAAGTGCTATAATCAGGTCCCCAGTGCATCTGCCAACCAAGGAAACGTGAAAAAGATTACCCCAGTAACTTTGTTTTGGACATTTGGTTTGAGAAATAAGACAGTGGCATATCTTAATTTGTATGCACTATAATGGCATTTCAAATAAACTTGTTAATTTCTTAATGTATGGCAGCGTATGATGTGTCATCCATGGCTTTATTATTCTGTTAGTATGTGCTGTCAAATCTTTTCTGGCTTGTTATTCATGTTGCTTTTATAACAGGCTTTACCAGCATGTTGTTTCTTTTTTTATGAAATCCATTGTTCATCCATGTAGCCTAATTATTTGCCTTGTTGCCGTGGTGGTATTCTTTAATTACCCAGCTGCCAATCCTTGTTCTTTTTATTTTGGCTGCTGTTATTCAGCTCTTCATGCTGGAGATATTTCAGGATGGGAAGTGTAACACATTAAAGATCTCCCCAAACTCTCATATTCTCATTTGCCAGTGCATTGATCCATGTCTACATGCGCGCACACACACTTCACAGATAAATCATCTATGCCAGAAATGCATGCAACTGGATTCCCTTGTATTACAGTACATTAGTCTACTTGCACACCTCTTCAGATATATTTGAACAACATAGCAAATAATTGTTTGCGAATTTGCATACATTTACAACTACTGAAAGATAACAGATTTTTTCATGTTTCTAATATATGCTTTTGAGGAAAAAAGAAGAGAGAGATAAAAAAGGGAGTCACAGATGAATACACACATACACCTCTACCCACTTGTAATACTCTCTTCTCTCTCACTCTCAGGCACGCCAGACTCATTTTCTCAGCTCCTCACCTGTCCCTATTGCTCTCGTGGCTACAAGCGTTACACCTCACTGAAAGAACACATTAAATACAGACACGAGAAGAGCGAGGACAACTTCAGCTGCTCTCTCTGCAGCTACACCTTTGCCTACCGAACACAGCTAGACAGACACATGACCGCACACAAAGCTGGCAGAGAACAGGTATTCTGTCCTTATTCTGTAATGTTTGTGAGAAGTGTGATTTAATGACATATTTTAAATCTAACATGTTCAAAATTGTTTCTAAGGGATAACTCTGGGAATAAGGTTGCAATTTTAGACTATTGTGTGTTGTAGTGAAACCCAAAGATTTAAAACCAGACTCAAAATGGTTGGATTTAACACAAGTAATAATATATCACTCATGCAAAACCTAAAGAAAAGAACTAAAAACTGTAAAATGTACTGTAAATATAAAAGTTGTCATTAAGCAATTAAAGTACATAGCTATATTTTATACAAAGGGCATATGGTTAAAAATTAAACACTTTTTTATGAGATTTTACACTTACATATAAATGATAACAGCAGTATTGTTCATCTGATTATAACACATTCTCTTACGTTTTTAGCGGCATGTTACTCAATCAGGTGGAGGAGGGAATCGAAAGTTTAAATGCACTGAATGTGGCAAAGCCTTCAAGTACAAACACCACCTGAAAGAACACCTGCGCATCCACAGTGGTGAGGACTGCTTAAAATATGCTATGCTGCTGTATCTGTGTGTGTTTGTTTGTGTTTGTGTGTGTGTGTGTGTGTGTGTGTGTGTGTGTGTGTGTGTGTTTGCACGCA